TTGACGGCACCACGTGCACAATTTCTAACAGAAAACTTAAACGTCGTTTTGAACAACGATGTACCCAAGAAACTACGAATCCAATTTAAATTCCACCATTATTACGTAAAAAAATTCATACTGGTAAAACTCAAGATTAGGTACTACATGTTTGAAAGCTAAAATAATCGCAGCAACCATATGTATAAAACAAGTATTAAAAACAATGAACCCGACTGCAACGATCTATTATTCACAAAATAATTACACTTTCCTCAGAATTTGCTTCAAGCAAGCTCTATATTATTTATTCGAGCAGTATTATTACTATAAAATGACATTCCAGGGATGAAGAAGAATCCAACGACAGTTTCACAGTTCAAAATCTGTCAAGCCGTTTTAAGCTACAGAAAATCACAAAGGAACAAAAAACATACAAGCTCCCGAAAAGCATACCTCTCCTGGTTCATTTGAATACTAAGTAACACATTGAAACTGGTCTAACAAGTGCAACTATGAAAGAATGCCTTTTCTTATGATGCAAAAGCATTTCGATTTGGGTCGCCTTGCATACTGTTATAATATAATATAACCGATACCTTAGAAAAGATACTGTAGAGTATAGTTATACGGTTGGTATATTGGTATAGGCCATTTATATAAACATTTCTCGTATTAGACTTTAAGCGTGACTTTAGGCATGTTTTTAAAAAAAAAAGAAAGAGAGAGACGCGTCGTCGTTATAAAAGGGAATATAATAAAATTAAAAATAAATGAAAGTAACTAAAAATGTGCTGCAAACTTACGTATAGAAAGTGTATTTTGTAAACTAATGCCATGTGAGTTTATAGAATTTCTTGTTCACAAAATATTTGTTAAAATAATATAATCAAATTTTTAGCCGTATTAAAATTATAAATTAGTTGTAAAAGCCGTATTAGAGAACTTAATTTCTTGAAATTGTTTCACACATCAAACATGCTTCAAAGTTTCAAGTTTCAACATACAAATCTAATTCATTAAAGTACTGAAACACTAAACATAAATACATACTCGTAATGCTGTAATAGTAGGGAGCCGAGATAAGGAGGACCATCTCTATGATGTTTAACTAAACTCAAGAATTCTGCACCATTGAACGGATAGGGTTTGATCTGTACTCTGCGATCGCTGATTATGTAGTATGTTACGCCGACAAACGAGCACACAGTCCACCTTATGGTAAGTGGATACTGCAGCCGATAGGCATCTTCATTTGTTATAGATAAGAATCAAATTGCACATTCTTTATCACACCTGACGAATAAAATGGAATGACTCGTTGCCAGTTAAAAAGGTCTCCGTTTCTGTAAACTCAACATAGGAATGCTATTTTACGCCAGGATTCTGTAAGGGTGTGGTCCTTATCCGGCCTAGCTTGCGTAAACAGGAAGTTAAAGGTTAAAGAAGGTAGTTGGAAGTTTATACGTAAGCTGGAAATAGCATGAGAGAATATATGTGCACAAATGTAACACGAAATGTACATTTTTAAATTAGCAACGTTATAACTAGAAAGGAAATCATAATACATTAAGTTGATGTACCAATGTTTTCTTTGTCCAATGTTTTTGTTTACATGTTTAAAAATCTTATTTATTAAATTAATGGTTGTAGTGCTTTGTGGCGTTTCTTGATGGACTATATTCAGCAGTGGCCTTGGATGATGATGATGGTGATGATTGATTATGATTGAAAATAACGCCAAAAGGCATATGTTATTCGTCTGGTTTTTTTAGAGCGCTATTGGACACAGCAATTCTACTTCAATTTACCATAAGGAACAACTTTACACATTAAAATGGTACACATATCCTTCACTTCAAAGATAACTGAAAGCCAAAGATAATTAACAAATGTGTGTTTAAAAAAATCAAAAAGTGTTTTTATAAAGTACTAGCCATCCGCCCCGACTTCGCACGGGCGATTTCAGGATCTCGACAACAGCGCCACCTAACGGGTTCAAATGTGAAGCTAAACCATCTAGGGACCCATTCAAACACATAAAATTTCATCAAAATCCGTTGCGTAGTTTAAAAGCTATAAGCGTAGAGATGGCGGGGAGCGACTTTGTTTTATACTATGAAGAGAAGTTGCAACATAAGTCAACCAACATAAGTAAAGATATCAGAAGTGGCTTTAAATGCGCTAAGCATATGGCACTTGGGTTAAAAAGCAACATGTATGTATAAATCAAGATCCCGTAATTAACGCAGTTGAGATTAGTTTGCTTTAATGTTAGGACTGCAGTTAGTCCATCTTTTTTAGTGTGTAATGTCTATGTTTATTGAAGTCATATTTGTTGCTGCTGTCTTGTTATGCTATAAAATAAAATTTTATAACAAGTCACAACACGTGGAATTATTATTACAAACAAATCTACGTTTAATGTCCAAATAACACACTCCCAAAATCGATATAAGCCTTTTTGAGACTCTATATTAAAAGCAATAAAATCGTTAGAAAAATGTATTTATGTAAATTTGCAATTAATGAGAAAGAGTAGTTACAGTAAGAGACTTTCACAGTATCAACGACAGACCTGAAGCACAGCCTAAGAAGCACATACAGTCAGTCATCGCGTTTGATGTTGTTGGAAAAGCCGACATAAACAATATAAATTGTTAGGATTGTCAGAACGGGCAACGGGCGGGTAATAAAAAATATAAAACTAAATTTATATTATTTCACGTTTAAACAAATTCCTGTGTATGTGGATACCGATGAAACTTTAATTCCTAATACAGTGGATTTCGGGTATAACGACGATGAAGGGACCACTCTATTTTCGTCGTTATATCCGGAAGTCGTTACAGGCAAAGGTTAAGAAATGCAGACGTGTACACATGTATAGTTTATATTCATTTATTATTGAAAATATTTGCACACATTATTCACTGGTACATTTCAAAAAATTAATCAAAAGTTTACTAAACCCAGTTGCTGCTCAGAATATCACTTTGTAACTGAACCATAAATTTAACTCGGAATCGTACACGCTTCCCTGCCCACTTAGCTGATATCTATAAACAAAAGGTAATGGTCTCCACACTTTCTGACCATCTGTGTGGATGTAAACAAAAGATAAGAAATGTTTGTAAAGGAAAGAAATCTTTGTGACTTTGGCGGCCGACTCCGGTCGTAATATCTGCATGGGATTTCTAGGAATTTGTTACAAATGATTCATTAAAAACAGTCGCTATACCCGAACTCGGCGTTACATCCAAAGTCGCTATAGCCACGTGAATTTTGTACTAAAATATGCTTTAAATTCAAGGGACTTAGATTTACCGTCGCTATAGGTAAATGGTCGCTACAACCAAGGTCGTAGTAAATGAAATCCACTGTATTTAAATGAGGACTATGCACAGTTTTTTTAAGTCACATGTATTGTGAACCACAGTGCAGTATAGTCACAGGACAACCCTAGCGGACGTTTAGACGCTTTCGATGACAGACTGTTAGTAGTAGTTAGACTGTGCCTGAAGACAATCCAATCCACTTTGATTAACCATAACATCATATAGTCCTCGAGACTAAAATTTCATGTGATATAAACCATCATATTTGTAAATTAATAGGTGAAGAGAAAACTTTGTACGTACCCCTTTTTAAGTATATTGCGCGCACTAAGGAGTGTGTATATGGGAAACTGCAGAAAGCTAAAATGTACATATGATATGTATTACATTAAATTAAATTAAATTAAGCATACATTGTTTACATTCATACTGCTAAAGAATGTCTCAGAGTAAGTACAAGCATATGTATGTTATTACTCTAAGGCCAATGTCAAACACTTAATAGTCTGTGGTCAAATAGACGCACAGAGTAGAGATTGCCTCTAAATAATTTAAACATGTTGCCAACAAGAAATTATAAATTGAATGAATGAGCTGTGAATTTTGTGTGATTTCTAATGTTACTTTTTCAATAGTATGTGGAGTGTATGTAAAAGCAAAAAAGCGTTTATTTTATATACATTTTTTTCAAAAATGAATTACGGTCGAATTTCGACCACTGGACGACCACTTGTACTAGTATAAATAAATATGTATTACAAATTTAAGATAATTGGACACAAAATCACCAAACATTTATTGCAATTTATTTGCATGTTCTTCCTAAATCCAATGTTGCCACTATTATTCGTAAAACACATTCAATCACGTTTTATTGTTCACATTAACTAGCACATGTACAACGGCAACATTGTAATAGCTTCTATAAAACATATATAGATATGCCAGCACTAGAGAGTAGAAAGTTAATACTGATCATACATATATGAAGCACCCAATTGATTTTTCAGTTATTTAAATTTTTAAGTACAAAATGTCTTCACGACATCAATTATGCAATATTAATTATATCTATAACAATAAATTTATTTACAGTTACAAACGAATCTAACAAGAAATAAAATCTCCATTTATATGCATTGGAATCAATAACTTTTACCCCTAATTGTAACGTTTATCGTTTTAGTCACAATTTATGTCAAGTTAAAATAATTAGTCTATGTGAAGTTGCCATAAAATAATATATAGATACATAAAATATTGATATAAATTTTTTCCGTCTCATATAAAAATACATGATTGTGAGAATGTATACTGTAAACAAACATGCACGGATCGTACATGATTAAAAAGAAAGCTATTTCATTGTATTAAAAAATAATTTCACATTTAAAACTTGGCAAATTTGATGCTACAATTATTTATATTTATATATATTTAAAACAGCAACTAATGGTAACACACTTTTACGAACATACGTCTAAAATAAAATAGCTTGTCCTTTGTATCAAGGGCACATAGGATACGTTCAATTCGTATTTGTAGATTCCAGTCACTAGGCTAGCGTCGCAAATTGCACAATTGTTTAATGTTCTTTTTCACTTACGATTAAAAATAATTTAACTAATATCTGCACTTATTTACACTTAACTAATTCGGCAGTGACGTATAACTGACTATTTACTATGAACTGTCTGGATTCGATTTTCGTCTGACTTGATTCAGTGCTTGTGTCTGAGTTTGTGTGATGAACTGTGCAGTGCCTGAAAATTAAATAATACCTATTAAGGAATAGAATATAATAATTTTATTCAACATAGATTTCAAGTAATACCTGTGTCTACTTTGTTTGGATCACGAAGAAACCCAAGGGAACTTCGTAATGTTGCACAATTGAATAAATTATTGCCTATTGGTTGGCCTTTAAGGCCTATGTTACCTATAAGGCCCATTGGTGACCCTGATTTGACTGAAACATCAGCCTCGAGCAATGGTGATTTTTTATACGCTAAGACAATGCTACCTAGGTCTTCATTAACACTTTCAAGCATTGACTTATAATACGTAAATAAAAAATGAACTCTTTCAACGCTAAGCAGAACCTTTACAACCATCAAAAAAAAGAAAATGTAACTTCACATGAACTCAATGTGCTCCAGCGAAACATAAATAGTTTAGAGTATATTTATATTGGTCGTGTTCCGATATACACTGCGAGCACTGCTCAGTGCTCTCACTGGTGAAAATTTCGTTCCGTTATGGACTGCCAGTGTACTGCCGCAATACCCTAGGGAAGTGTATGACGTCATAAATCGCCGCTATTTTTGTACTGTGAGTACTGGCGCTTTCGAATTAAGGTGCTCTCAGTACTTTGATCACGTGATCATAAAATATAACAGCGCCTAGAGATTTAACAGCTTTCACGAATGATTGTTATTATTATTAATTTATATTGTTATTCAAACAAACATGGACATTAAGTCTTAGAAGCAACAACATTCAAATAATATTTTTTGTTGTTGTACAGAAAACGTGTACATGATATTTTCATTTGAAAATAGTGTCGAAAAATGGGGACGACAGTATACTGGACTGCGTTCCGTTTTAAACAGTAACCAGTATAGTAAACTAAAAAGGAACGGCTTCACAGTATACTGAATTGATATCACATCTAACAGTGGTCACAGTGTATATCGGAAGTCGGAACATACCCATTGTTTAGTGTTCATATACGTTTACATTATACCTACGCGTATTATTGCTGCATCCATGTTTGCATCACTTTATATTGTGTCTACTACTCTATAACTGTTAGTAAGCTTAACATTTTCGTCACGCCTATTAAGGCAAAAAAACTCATTATTTTGTCCTTGTCTTTTGTATGCAATTGTGCGATAGAGATAGCGCTATACTAGTTCGACTCGGCGAAGACTATAGACTAACAGTCTTATTTATAAAAAGTTAAAATAGGTTTATTAGCTTCTTATTAAGAGGTACCCGTAAAACACTATTCATAAACGCATTATAACGCTAAAACGTATTATAAGTGTTCAATAGCGGCTTCATAAGTTATAGAAGGGTCCACCGTACTATAAACCCATTATAAACCTGTTATAAGGAAAAAATGGCCGAACTGCGTGCGAGCAACGAACAGCTGATTGTTGAAGTTGTATAGATTATTGTTGAAATTGTTTTTTATGGATTTTAATTGCTAAAGTGTCGTTATGCAAGCTCTGCAAGCTTTAGAAGCTATGGACCAAGTAGAAAATGCTCCGGATCGTCGTCGTAAGGTTTACCGGAAGAGATATCATCCGTTTTCTTTGCCCGATGTAGAGTTCAAACAGCGATACCGCTTCAAAAAACATACGGCATCTTTTATAATTGATCTCGTCAGGCAGGATTTACAACTGGACTCAAGAGGTTGTGGTACGTCACCAGAATTGCAGGTGTAAACCGCCATTAGATGTTGGGGACGTCGTGAAGTAAGTCAACTTGTAGCGTACAAGTAATAATATCCAATTTGAGTGTGTAATCGTTTTTGTACCTATCCTTTTTAGGTTCAAGACGATGGGGGAGACCTTCATGGGTTGAGTCAACCAATTGTGAGTCGCATTTGTGCCAGAGTAGCTCGTGCGACTGCTCGACACTCTGACACCTAAATAAAAATGCCGTAGTCCTTGGCAGAAGAGCAAAGGGTTATATGGGAACTCTTAGGGATAAGAAATTTTCCTTGTGTTGGGTTGCATCAATTGCACTCACATAAAATAAAGAAATTTGGTGGTGATGCAGCTCAGTATTACATAAACCGAAAAGGATTTTATTCATTGAATGTGCAAGTTCATATTATAATACAATGCAGTTCTTTGTGGTATATTACTCATATACATATGTACTTATTTTACCTACATAGATAACTGTGCTCACATATTTTTAATTTTTAATGCAGGTAGTTTGCGATGTTAAACTATATATCAGAGACATTGTTGCCAGATGGCGAGGCAGTACCCATGATTCCCGTGTCTTTAATGAATCCACTTTTAAGAGCGCTTTGAAAGAAGAGAGTTAAGAGGGAGACTCTTAGGAGATTCAGGCTATAGATTAGAGTTATATCTATTTACACCTATACTAAGACCTCAAAATAAGCGTGAAGAAAGATATAATCGAGCACAAATTGCCAACGGAA